ACTTTGACTAATTCCCGAGAGATAAGATGAATCCTTGATGATCATTTGATTTGCGATGAACTGCTTCACAAATAGTTTGACAAGCTCGTTAAAGGTGTTTACAGTGCCCCTTGGCAGAGAGTAGAACCAGGTTCAAGCTTGTCTTTTAAGAGTAACCGGGAACACTTGACACAGAAGCGCATCAGAGGCACATCGAATGTGCATGATGGTATGTTAATGATCAATATGCTCGTAGGAGTCGGTTATCCCTTCATATGTACGAATATTCATAAGCTTGAAGCATGTTGGGATGGGGTTTTGGAGGTCCACATCCGCTAAGGGAGAAGATTCATGAATGTTACGGTGAGCGTAGAAGTGATCCTTTTTCTCTAGGTGAAACTCTTCTCTGATGAGACGTCGTAGTTTGTTACGAATGACATTATCTGGAATGGAAGGAAGATGTGGCGAAGCCGGGTGAGCTGCACGAGATGGATGAGTACTTGCGGTACATAAGAGTTCAACATCACGACCTTACAGGGGATGTGTTCCTTTATGAGGAGGCGAGTCGATATGAGTTCCTTCGAGCGATATGTTTATCGTACATCACAGAGTTAATGGTAAACAAATTTCATTCAATGGTGTAGGCAGCGGTTATTGAGCCTCGCGTAGGAGCTGTAGGATCTCTAGTTGAGACTCCTCCATTCTACACATTCGATCTTCTATAGACATACACGAAACACCTTCGTTGGCAGGATAACGTCTTTAAGGGAGAGAAGATGAAGAAGCATGTCGCCCTTGGCTTCGGGACTGCTGCCTAGAACGATGGGTTTTGGAGCGGGATGCTCCGTTTTCACGAACATTGTGTCTGGTGGCCATGTAGTAAACTGCGTAAGTACTTTAGTTGTGGGATTGAAACTTTCCCACACACGACGCCAAACTAATGCGTGCTAGAAAATTTGTGACGATATGAGTAATGTATTATCGTCTTAGCGTCGCACGAGGATTCAACACACATTTAGATGAAAGGGAATCAACATGTGATGACACCAGAAGTTTTACGTGGAAAAATCTGTAGAGGTAAAAAATCACGGGGTCTGACCCAGTTATAAAAAGTCCATTATAAGTTGATGATTAGAGAGACCCTTTTGTCTAACAGATGAGAAAGTGTTACAAGATTTTCCAAGGTACAACGTCGACTGACGACGTCTGGTTAGTGGTAGTTGACGACAGTTGATGACGGTCGGTGGGGGCCGATGGAGGTCGACGACAGCCAGCGGTAATCGAAGGAGGTCAGCGGTGGTTGTTAACCGTCAGTGATAGTCGACGGTGATTGGCGGTGGTCGACGAAAATCAATGACGGTCGGTGGTGGTCGACAACTGTCTGCGGTGGTCGACGACGGTTTGCGATGACAGAGATGATGTTGGACATAAGATCATTCTCAAAGCCTCAAGTTCTCTCTCAAGCCTCCTCCGTCATGTGAGGGGTGAGACTTTATTTATAGTGTTTTGGGTGCAATTAGTGCAAAAATAAGAACTATTTTGATCAGACGGTTCAGAGAGCTTTTCTCGATCAGAGGAAATTTAATCGACATTTCAGTGCCTTAACAATGTTAGAATCGAGCAATCTTGGGCTCGTTGAATTCATTTTTGTCGAGACTCTCGATTCGATTATGAACTCACTAGATTTGACATCCGTTTGACCTTCCAAATGTGCCCACAAATCTTCTAAGAATGATTTGCTCGATCTGGGCTTGGTTTGACTCGAATTAGACTAACTTTGATATCATTAGGTCTGTCTCATTGAGTCGGTCAGTTTGACTATAAGTTCACTGAAATCGGAGCTCTGAATGACTTTTTATCAAGATGTAAATATTTTTTGCTCAAAATATTACCTCGAGATTCGTGCCGGATGATGAAAATGTGTGTGTGTGTGTGTGTGTGTGTGTGTGTGTGTGTGTATATGTATGTATATAAGTCTTGACTTTTACTTAAGGTATGTCATATTATGGAAATTCCTTCAATTTATAAGCGTTTAAGAGCGAGGTATTTATTTTAAAAGTTACTTAATAAACTTTAAATATATTAGTTTTATTTAAAAATTTTTCAAATATAAATTTAAATTTTTTACACATTTACAATATTTATCATAAAACAAATCTAATAATTTTGAGATTTTTATAAATTTTATGAAATTTATCTTGACATAAATTTTTTTGGTAAATACTTGAAATTATTAGATAATTTTTCTGATTTTTTATTATAATTCACTTAATAAAAATAACATTCTAAAAATAGAATAAAAAATATGTTGCAAATAATATGATATTAATTAATCTGCAAAAATCTTAAGCCATTAATTCCTTAAATTAATATTAAATTCAATTAAATATTTTCAACTTAATTTTCAATATTATTCTAACTTTATTTTCACTCTATTTTAATACTAAAATAAAACATGACAAAAATTAATATTTAAAAATCAACTTTGACAACAGGTTGATCAAATCAGTATTTAAATACGAAGTCTATCTCTTTAAAAAAAAAATTCAAAAAGTTTGTTACTTTTAAATTTTATTTAAAAATATGCACTTTTTTAAAAAAATTCTCTAACTTATGGGCTTACATTCATTTCCTTTACTATCTATTTATATATACATTTTATAAGTAGCAAGCAAGACTAGGGCAAGTCTAACTACCATACATTCTAATTCTTACTAACATCTTATGTAGGGTTGTTGTTGGACAACCATGTTCTTCAATGCAACACATTTATCTCTTATTTAGCATTTTCTCCAAGATATTAGGTGAACGCTTTTAGTTTTATACGAATATCAACATAATATCTAAAATATGCTCCATACTAATTAAATTTATTTCAAAATTAATATAAAATACGTACATGTGTGTCTATGCCTACCCTTTTAAACTATAATTATAATGCATTCTAGCAAAATTGACATACAAAACATACAATTCTTATGTATTTATATATCTAACACCTAAAATTTTTTATTTTCATTTATATCCCTTTGGTATTAAGAAAATAGAGCATTCACATACATACCATACAATTCTTACATATTTACATGTATAACATCTATACTTTTATATATACACGCGTAACAGTTAGTTTTTTTGACATCAAATAGAAAATGCAACTATCATTAATTTTTAGAAGTGATGTACACCTTTTTACGCATAAATTTTTAATAATAAGGTGCTGTAAATATAAATCTCAAATTTTTAAGGTCCGTTTGGGGCAACTTGTGCGTTTCAGGATAAGCTGCTTATCCTGAAACGCGACCCGCGGACCGACAGCAGGGGTAGACCCGCGGCCTGCGTTTAGTGTAAAAACCCAATCACAGTTTCAGATAAACTGGCGAAACGCGCGAACCAAACGGTACGGCGATGACGTTTTGAAAACGCCGCTCGTACTTATAAGCTGCTCCAAACAGATTCTTAGTGTTAGATGCACAAATGCAAAATTATGTGTGTCATATATGTAAATTTTCTTAAAAATTTTTGTGTATTTTAATTTTAAAAAATAATTAATAATAATAATTTTGTCTGATGTAAAAAATTTAAGTGTTATATATAAATATTAAAATTTAATTAGTGTTAGATGCACAAATGCAAAATTTTGTGTGGCATATATGTAAGTTTTCTTAAAAATTAATGTGTATTTCAATTTTAAAAAATAATAATAATTTTGTCTGATGTCAAAAATTTAAGTGTTATATATAAATATTAAAATTT